CCCCAAAACCCCAAAACCCCAAAACCCCAAAACCCCTTATTATAATTTCTTCGTTGAGCTTCTGCCAAAATGGAGACGTTTCATACAAACTTTAAGTCTGTCGCAAGGAGAATGGGTCGTGTAAAAGATTCCACTATAACCAATCACTTGAGGTAATTTATTTATTAGCCAAACTAATGTTTTTCTTTTGATTGTTTAAGAGTGTTTGTGCTCTTCATCAGCTTACATTGTACCGCAACCCGATCTATAAGAACATCGGGTGGTTTATATCTAAATATTTAGAAAAATTCGAAGATTCATTAAAATACCTGAAATGTTCTCAAAGTACAAGGATGGCCAATAAATTTTTAAGATGAAATACCAAAGAAATCGATCTGGACTTGCTCACTCATCTCTAAGAACAGTATTGTGAAAGATGCATTCATGTTGATAGATGAAATGGCGGAGACATTCACTGAAAAACTTGTGAGTAACTTAGTTATCATATGTGGTTAAAATTAAGAAAAGATGAAAAATACTAATTGGTTCCTTTGGCGCTGCGCAGCTCTGAGGAATAATAAATCAAATAATTAGCAAGGGTCTGGTTATTAAACTAACTATAAAAGATGGCATGCTTAAAATTCCAACTAGTTGCTATTAGAATGGGAACAGTCTCATTCGAGATATGAGGAGACACTATTCTCAGACTTTTGCACAAGACTGCCTTGTTTACTTTCTTAAGCATAATAATTTTCCATCCAGGTTTTCTTACTCATAATTTAAGTTCGAATATTCACAGTTTAGAGGATACAACTCTTCAGAAATTATGAAGAACAAATATTTAATTTATAATTGATAATTTGAGTCAAATAGAACGTCATTATTAATGGATTTCCTCATTTCTAAGAAGCTTCACTTTCAGCTAAATAACATTCTGCATAACTCTGGAAGCTATAATAAAACTCGATGGTCGTATTTATGGCCCAAACTTAACATTTCTGTTTTACCATGCATTTAAATTCCTTGGTATGATAACTTGCTTGCCAGAAATCTTGAATTTTCTATCAGAAAATTCATAACGAGATGTACTTATATTGCTATACCAACTTCATAATTTTCAGAGTTTATGAAACCTGTTTTTTGTGACTAAAGTCTCAAATATTATTTAAAGTTAATTAAAACCACTCTGATTATTACTCGGAGCTCACAAGAGATGAAGAGAGAAAGTTTAGTGTTTTCTTAATTAGAAAATTCGGAACTGGAATTCCTTTAACTAATTTCTAACTTAAGGAGGCTTATGATTTTCTTCAGTCCATTTACATCAAATTTAAGGGCAGAAGGCTTTCAGTAGCACTTAAAACCTAACTGCAACGAAAGAGTTCCATAATCAAAAAGTTTAGAAATTAAACCTTAATTAATGAAACTGTAATGACTCTGCCTCACGGAAATCTTGGTTTAAAAATAATAATGCCTGGCTACTTTGATCCATATGCGCAGTGCATCGGTGGCCTAAGTACAAATTAGAGAAGAAAAGATGAGCAAGTGAGGCAGCCTTATAAATGTACTAAAATATCGAAATTTCCAGAGTCCTAACTATACTTCAAGAGAATTTATTATCAGCCCCAGAAATAGGTTTAATGTCTTTAGTGTCTCCTCGTGGCGTCGTAGAGCTCACATTTTGGAGGAGTTCTCTTTACTTAAGGATGAACCATTCACCAGTTATTAGAAATTTATAGTTAATAGAGGTCTGTTGTTAATTATATTTTAGGATCTGCTCTTCTAGGTCCTAAACTATGGCCAATAAAAAGTTTCAAAGTGAAGGTGCATCTAAAATATTGCCTTGTGAATTTGAAAAATTTTAACTGGAATATTAAAGATAATAAAATGAGTCTGTAGGGTTTAAACCTTGTTATTTTTTACTTGATCTCCACTTCTAAAATTTATTGAGAGCCCTATTTAACCGGCTTAATATTGCTTAAAAAACCTAACTAGCTTCTGGCTTATATCATGCTCTATTCATCCAAAACAGAGTCCTGAGTACAATGTAAAACTTATTTTGTGTTAATTAAACCGGAGACAGTTAAAGAGCTATTTTAATGCAATGCAGGAAATTTAGGGAGTTTTATCAATCAATTCGATATAAATAACGCTGGGCTTATCAAAATTTTAAAATTTTTCTTTAACAATAACACATTGCTTATATAACACAAATTTAGAATCTAAATTTCAGTCATTGTTTTGCCCCAAAAGTTCTAAAATCGATTTAGGATAGATTCCACTAAAAGAAATAGTCTCTGACAGCTTTGTAGCTCAGATAGGTTAAAGGGAATAATTTTCTAAACTAAAGATACGCTAGCATAAACTGGAGCAAATACTTCCATAAAATTTTTGAAAATTAATGAGTGTTTATGTGTTTGTTCATGTTCCCTTTTTGAGTGAACTTTTTCTGACAAATTGGACAGCTGTACGGTTTGATTCCCTCGTGCATTCTGTAGTGGTCTAACAAGTTCCAGCTCCGTTCGAACTCTTTGTGGCAGCCTCCTTTGAACTTGCAAACGTAGAAGTAAATGGGTCTTCCAGTCGAAGGAGAGTTCTTCAACTTAAGTCCGTAATTGAAACTTCTCAGGTTGTGCAGGTACTCCAGATTGTTGATGGTCATCACTTTGTCGACCAGGTGAGCCTGCTTTGAAGTCAAAGAGCAAGTTCAGAGTTTCTGACGAGGATTGCTCTTATAAGTTGCAACCAAAGTTTCTAGATAAGTAGAAGATTCAGAGGCATTTTGAGTCTCAGGATGAATGCTCTTGTTTTGGTGCGCGCCACCTGAAGAGTCATCAGTGTGATTAGGAGGAGCACCTCTAGTTCTTGTAAACTTAGAATCTCTTCTCTTATTAATATTAAAAATAGGGCTTCCAACTACAGTTGGTTTATTGACTCTTTGTAAAACCTGTTTGTTTTGAGCATCTCATTTAAAGTCATAGAAGCCATCAGGAGTCGGCAACATTATCAAGTGTTGCCTTGAATTTTCTGGGAAATAGTAATGAGTGTTTCTGAGTTCTCTGTTGGTGAGAGCTACCTGAGCATCAACAGGAACACTTGAGTTGCAATTAGGCTCTTCCATTAGAATCAAGCTCTGCGAAACATAGTTCAGAGGAACAAGAGTTGTGTTGCTATTCCTAGCTATATTAAAAGGTCCAAGACCTTTGCCTGCAAGTATATGGCAATAATTTCTCTTTTGGTTATAAGTTGAGGGAAAGTTCATCGACATTGCTGAAGTAGGTATTTAAATTATGATTATGAATAAAAGATTTGCTGTATTTCAAGCAAATTACCATGATACGGGGTTTTGGGGTTTTGGGGTTTTGGGGTTTTGGGG